TACCAGAGGTCAATGCCAGGTTCCTGTCTCCTGCTTTTCTATCTTTTTTTCTGAGATGGGGGCTCTCACCGATTCAGTTAGAGTAGTTGGTCAGTAAACCCCAGGATGTACACAAACGACACCTAGGTTCTTTGATTTTGCTGTTTTTTGTTTTTTGAGACAGGGTTTCTCTGTGTAGCTTTGGATCCTATCCTGCCACTTGCTCTGTAGACCAGGCTGGTCTTGAACTCACAGAGATCCTCCTGCCTCTGCCTCCTGAGAGTACTGGGATTAAAGGCGTGCGCCACCACCGCCCGGCTCATACGTAGCGTTTTTAGGTGAGCGCTGGGGATCTGAACTCCAGTCCTCCTGCTTGCACAGCAAGCACCTTATGGCTGAGTCATCCTCCAGCCTCACATTTGCTCTCTGAATGTCCCACAGTGTAATCCCTACAGACCCCCTGGAGGGAGGAATTCACAAAGCTTCTGGGTGGAGGGCTGGGCTTTGAGTTAGGCAGCCTAGACCCCAGGCCATGCCCCGCTCTGTGCCACTGTCCCCTCTGCCTGCTCTCCAGCTCCACTCCTCGACTGCCTGCCTCAGGGCCTCTCCCAGAGTCCCTCTCCAGGGACTCCTCCTTAGCCTCTGCTCCGGTGATCCTGCCCATGCCCGCCCTTGCCATGGGCTGATGCTGTCCTTGTCTGTCTGTCTCGATGCTGAGCAATCTCATCTCTACTGCCTCCTCTGCCCCTAACCCAGCATCCTGGGTCATCCACCCTCCACACAGACACCAGAGACTTACTTCAAAAACAAAATCAGGTTTTTTTTTTGGTATTTTGAATAAAACTCCACCCAGGCTCACATTTAACGGTTTGCTCTTTCCAGAGGGCTCGTCCCCACAATAGGACAGGACTCTGTTATTTGACCTCAGTTCCACGTCACCATTTCCATGTCTATCTGTTTAGGTGTTTCCTTATTTACCTTTGAATTGTTTGTTTTTATTTATTTGTTCTCTTTATTATTTTTTTATTGAGGTATACATTTTTCCTCACGCCCTTTCCCTCCTCCCCCTCCTATGCCCCCCCACTCTTAATTTACTCAGGAGATCTTGTCTTTTTCCCCTTCCTAGATGGATCCACTTATGTCTCTCTTAGGGTCGTCCTTGTTACCTAGGTTCTCTGGGGTTGTGACTTGTAGGCTGTTTGTCATTTTCTTTATGTCTGATACCCACTTATGAGTGAGTACATACTATATTTGTCTTTCTGAGTATGGGTGACCTCACTCAGGATGACCTTTTTTCTAGTTTTGTTCATTTTCCGGCAATTTTCAAGTTTTTTTTAACCTCTGAGTACTCCATTGTGTAAATGTTCCACATTTTCTCTATCCACTCTTCAGTTGAGGGGGGCATCTAGGTTGTTTTCAGGTTCTGGCTATTACGAATAATGCTGCTATGAACATAGTTGAGCAGGTGTCCTTATGGTGTGAGTGTGCACCCTTTGGGTATATGCCCAAGAGTTTGCCTTTGGATTGTTATTAATGATGGCGTCTGCTCTGAGGGTGTGAGCCCCAGGAAAGCAGGTGTCAGATGTGTCGGTTCTGCTATGGAAAGGACAGTCAGTGACTAAGTGCCTTGAGGAGAGAGTGGAGTCCCTTTGAGATTCTCTACATGGCATTCCGGATGCCCTGAGGTGGTCATGACCTGGACCAGTTAGTTCAGGCTAACTTCACAGGTGTGCGGTCACTGTCATCACTAGCTTTGCCTGCCTGCAATCCTGTGCCCAGGCAGGAGGCAAACTCATTGGCTGCTTTCTGCTGACTCCCTTCACCAGGGATGCCAAGAGCTCCTTGCCTGCTTCTGTGTTTGTCTTCCTTTAACTTTGAGTAACTTATGATGCATTATCTTTCACAGTATGTCACGGGCCAGGGGCTTCCCTGAAAAGGGAAAATGCTAACTTTTAAGTCAGAACACCGGAGCCCAATCAGGGCACACCCACTCAGCACAGCTGTTACATTTCATCAGTCACGGGAGAGACTTCATACTCTAAAGAGACACAAGAGAGCTGAGTTCTGCCAGGGCCTGGGTCAAACCCTACACGGAACACATCAAAGGAGCTGCAGTCTGCAGCCCAGAGGGATGTGCGGCCACACTCAGGGCAAACGGGGAACGGCTTCGTGTTCATCTGGGTAATCCTACCAGGACTGAAAGAAACTGAAGTCTGGATGTCTAACTTCAGAGCCCTTTTCTAACTAGAAGCAGAGAGCCACCTGGGGGATGAGCATGGTGGCCAGGGGACTGGTGCCACTCACCTTAAAAATCACATCTAAAGCCATGAAAATGCAGGCTGTCTGGTCTCAAAGGCCACCCACCACATGTGACCTTCATCTTGGGAACCAGGGAAACAGTCTCTGCCCTACTTTTAGGAGCTAGAAAGGAAACAGCATACTGTTGTGTGTGTTCCAGGAAACCCCAAGGCCAAATCTTCTCGGTAAAACCGTGAACCGAAAAGCTCTCTGGATGAAACGTTCAAGGATCCTGTCTCCAGTCTCAGTGCCAGGGAAGCCCATATTTCTGTAGAATGTGGCTTACTGATTGCCACACCTGCCAACCGTATGAATTCACAATGACGGTCACTTGGGAAGGAAACTCACTGTTCCTTTACTGGACTCAATTTGTCTTATGATTTTCTTCCTGGATTCTGGCTAGTGGCCTCCATCTTGGTAGCCATTAGGGTACCATCACCCTACAGTTGGCTTGGTAAAAATTGTCATCTCGAAACTCCTGTAATGTAGTGCTACCACAGTATGGCTTTTTCCTCAAAACTTCCCGCTGAGGACAGGAATGCTCAGAACTGGCAGAGGCAGGGAAGCCAAGATCTAATGACATCTGAGGTGGCTGGTGTAGCATCTGAGCGACAGAAGTTGTTATCAAGGTTGAAAATATCTGCACAAAATGATACAAAGTTTTATATGATGTCTTGGGGTCTTTTTTCAAAATAAACCAGTGTGTGTGTATGTGTGTGTGTGTGTGTCCGTGCGTGCGTGTGATGAAAGTGAGGGTGCAGGTACAGAGAAAATCAAACTGTCCAGTCACTGAAGGTGGATGGCATCATCTCCCTGCTCTGCTTCCTCCCTCTCCAGGGTCTCCTGTAGTGCTGACTGGCCTTGAACTCACTTTGTGGTCAAGGATAACCTTGAACTTCTGATCGTCCTGTCTCCATCTGGGATCACAGTTGTGTGCCATTCTGTCAGGCCTATGTGGTGCTGGGTATCAAATTCAGGGCTCGGTGCGTGCCAGGCTGGTGCCCTAACGACAGAGTCACACCCCCAACCCCTCCTCCCCACCCTCCATTAAAAACAGTATTGAAGCATCCCAGTCTGGAAGGCACTTTGGGGACTGGCCTCAGCCTTTCTACTCTCATTTCACAGTCCCCATCCTGAGGACCTTCTGGCATGGTGACATTACCCTGGTGGCTGTGATTTCACACCTCTAGGCCTTTATACACAGCTCCATCTGTCTGCAGTCCCTTTTCTCCCACAATCCAACAGTCCTGCCTCACAAGTCCCACAGCCTTGTTTATTAGCCTGGGTAGTTCTCACACCGTGTTGTAATTTTACTTTTCGCTTCCTCTGCTGGCCTGTGGCATCCTTGGGGCACTTTTCCATCCTCCCAAAAATGTATCCTCAGATCATGCTTTCAGTAGTGATGACAGCTACGAGGTTTATTTTTTCCGGTATTAATGTGCCAGGCACCTCAACTCATTGCATAGCGATGACATTAAACCTTAACATAGAGTGTGCTGTGGATGCTATCACCCTTTCCTGAATAGATAAGATACTTTAGGGAGGTTATTTTACCAGCAACTGGCAACTGTGTGCTGCAAGGTGACAGCTGAGGCTGGGTTCAGAATAAAAGCCACCTGTCCTTCCTCCTTTGGGTCCTTAAGGTTCCAGGAGTTGAAGAGCCTGGGTTTTAGGCTCAATTCTGCTTTTAAATTGGTGAGTGACTTTTGGGGGCACCTCTGCCCCCTAGGCCTTGTCTACCAGGGATAGTCTTTGAGAGAACTAGAGAATCACGTGATACGAGAGCCCTCCCAGCTTCCCAGGAGCTGGCTTCCCTGTCTGGGAACCTCCCAGCTTCTCATCCTCAACCTCTTCTTGCTAATTGTAGTCTCTCAGAGCAAAACCGCGTTTGCAACCTGCTGCCTGGGTCACCTCTGCCTCCCTCCCTCCCTACCAAGCTGGGATTTCTCTTTAGGTGGGGGTGGAGCCTGCAGCTGCCCGGCTCCTTCCTGAGACTTCCCTGTTGTTTCTCAGCCCCTTCCTCCCCCTCCCCCTACCTCCCCTCTCCCCGACGGAAACTCAGCTTCACACTTTCTAGGGATGTTCCGGGCACAGCCGGAGCCAGTGGTTGCAACGGGCAGCCCCGGGCTTCTGGGTTGATCTCTTCCAAGTCCGCCTCCCGGAGGTGGGGTAGGCGTTTGCAGGAAACGGGGGCGACCCACTCCTTCCTCCCAGGGCAGACTAGGCCTAGCACGCCCCGCTGGAGCTGGGTACCCCCCTGTGCCGACCCCCTCCACCCCTTTTCCGAGCTCTAGCTGAGCCCCGCCATTGCTCCCGCCAGGCCTCAGTGACTGCAGACCCAGGCCGGGGCCGCGGCGGTGACTAGGCCCGGGTCCAGCGTGCCCCCTCCGCCGCTCGGGGAGGACCGGGAGTCCCCGATAGGGCAGCTTTCGGCCCGGGCCTGGGCGCCGCGCTCTGGGTCGCCGCAGCTGCGATGCAGCGACTGGCGAGGGCGGCGGGGCGAGCTGGGATGCGAGCGTGCAGAGCCCCGGGGCCGCTGGGTCCCCACCGAGCCCAGAAGAGGCTGGGAGCTGTCCCCAGGGCGGTGCTGAAGGGAGCGGGGAAAGCGATGCGGAGGGAGCGGCCGGGGCAGCGGCGTGCAGGGCTAGGGTAGCACGGCCCTCGGCCAGGGTCTTCCGGACCGATCGCTCGCTGGCGACAGGGAGCGAGCGCAGTCTACGAACCTGTTGGAGGCAGCAGTTCCTCCGCGGCCGACCAGGGCGCCCGGGACCGAGGTTCTGGCGTGCCTCTCCCTCACGTCCTCCTCACTCCTCCGCCGAGACGCTCCCTCCTGCTGAGCTTAGCGCGCGCCACGCGGGGGGCGCAGAGCCCCTCTTCTGTCCGCCCGAAAGCTGGCGGAGCTCTAGGGCACACAGCTCAGAGGCCTCCCCCAAGGGCAGCCGGGCTCCCAGGGAGACCCGAGCTTCCTGAGAAGAGAGGCGGGGGCTGGCTGCTGGGACAACAGCGAGTAGCAGAAGAAAACGGCTGGGAGGCAAGAGACAGGGGAGTTCCCCAGACTCACAGCTCTGCTTTGAAGTTTGGGGATGCAAGAGAGGGGGGGTGTTGCTAGGATATCCCGTCTTGGAAATCTCTTTCCACCTCTCTTCTTTTCTAAGGCCAGTAACTGCAACATATGCCTCACACTTACCAGTTCAGATGCAGACTCCACTCAGCTCTCTCTCCGACATCTCATTCTGGGATGTCGTTAACTGTCCCCTAGGGAGCTCTTTCTGAAGGCAGGATATATAAGGTCATTCAACAGCAAAACAGTTCTCACCATGACAGAGGACTAACTCGTTCTGAGCGGACTCACCCCAGGGCCTTTGCACCTGCGCCTTTTACCTTGGAACTGCAACCTCACTACTTAGGTTCAGTCCACAAGGGGGTAAAGTTGAACCCACTGTCAGTGAAGTCTCCTGTGCTGTAGAGTCAGCCTGTACGTCCCTCTACTAGATGTCTGATCACACCATACTATAATTGCTTTTCTCCACCCCAAGCTGCTAGTCTTGTAAAAGCTGGAGCCATGCTTTACTTGGGATCTCCACCACCTAGCACACAGTAGGTGTTCAACTATGACTGCTGAACCAGGGAACAAATGTGAAGCAAGGCTCGAAGGAGCTCCCGTCTCTCCGTGTGGCTGCTCATTTGTTCCTGTATTTTCATCGCAGCCTGCAAGGCCCCCACTGGCAGTCTCATCGCCAACACTTCTGAGTCACCAACTTCCCTTCCAGTGACCTCGATTTCCACCTTGAGCTGCGTTAGAACATATAAGTTGCTATTTTCTTTGCCTGCAACGCTCCTCATCTTGACTCACAGGGCTGCATCCTTCTAGTCATTTGGATTGTAGTTCAAATGTTCAAACGCCACTCCCTGGAAGAATCTATCTCTGGCCATGTATTTAATCCGAGTGTGTCCAGCACATCCGTAGATGAGAGCATCCCATCACAGTATCAAAAGGTTGAGCAGCCCCGATGAAATGCTTTCCCCCATTTACTCTAGGGTCAAGTTTCAATTATTCAGTAGTTACTTCTCTGAAATAGTTTTACAGCCATCCCTTGTTATTTATGGGGTTTTGGTCCCAGGAATTTGTTACAAAACTCTGAAGATGCTTAGATTTCTTATATAAAATGGCATTGAATTTGCATACAACCTACATAGTCTTTCCATATGCTCTTGCTTTGGGGACAGGGTCTCCTGTAACACAGCTGGCCTCTTCTCCTGCCTCCCCCTGCTACATGGTGGGATTGCAGGCATGTGCCCTCATGCTTGGGTTTCCCCCTACCTCCAGCGGTCTTCAGACGACACAGGCGTTTGCTGTGTCATCAGTTGTTAGCATCCGAGCAGGCTTTGCCGGAGTCTGCGTGTCAGAGCCCCTTTCTTGCTGTGTGGGTGACTGTGAAATCATCTCTGGACTGGAAGTCACCAGAGAGGGCTTGAGAAGAGGGGACGCAGATATCCACACAGAGGGGAGAAGTGACTGGGAAAGAGCCGTAGGCCATTTTGTCACGCTTTAATGAGATACACCACAGACCGGGCAATTTGTCATGAGCAGAAATGTACTGGCTCATTGTTCAAGTAGCTGGGGGTCCGAAGCAGAGGGGTTGGCAAGAGTCTTATGTTATCCCATGAGGGAAGGAATGAGAAAGGAATAGGGAAATGGGAGGAAGGAGAGGGGGAGAAGGAGAAACTTCTCACTTCAAGCTCTGTTACAAATGCCATTTGTTCATCTGTGAGGACAGAGCCACTGTGAACTAACGCCTCCTGTAAGAGAATTATGTTTCTAATACACGAGTCTGAGAGACATGGTCAGTCACAACAGGGAAATCATAGACACGTAGCTGTGGGTGGAGTCATAGACCTGAGCAATGGCCTTTCCCATCCTGGGCAACAAAACCAGAAAAAAAAACAAAACAATTCCTTCTTACTGCCCTGGGCAATTCACATCAGTACTCTTACTTGATGTACATGACAACTTTGTCCACAGTCCATTATCCTGTCCGCTTTATACCCCAAACCATCCAGGGCAACAGAGGCAGACTAACTTGACCAAAGTCAAGTAGCTTATAAATGATGATACTATTCCTGGTACCATGATGCATGAAAAACTTTTGTATCTAGGAGGTTATATCACTAGGAGACACAGGCTAAGCAGTAGATGGTAGCTCAAGGATGATTCTCAACCAGCAGAGGGGCGGGGCAGCATGAACCGACAGACACCCAAATCAGGAGAAAATGAAACCTGAAAAGCAGCTCCCGCTTGTTGAGCACTATCCAGATATGACAAACTTTGGTAAGGATTTCTCATGCTGTGACTTAGTCATTCCTGCGTATCCTTCCCCATTTTACAAAGGAACCGGTGAGCAGCGGGATGGGGCCTAACCCGAGTGTATCTGACTCAAAGCTGGAGAGCTTAACCATTAGGAGCCACCGAGTTTGAATTTCTGGTGAGCAGGAATTTGAATATGATGATAGACGTAGAAAGCCTGTGCACAGAACATCTTCACTCCTACTGAGAAACCTTTGTGTAGGGAGTGCTGCCAGGCAGTGGAGGAGAGGGTAAACACTGCCTTCTACCTTCGGGGATGCTACAGAGGCTAAAATTGAACTCTTGAGGACTAAGTAGGGGGTGTTTACAAGCAGGCATAAAGGGAGAGTGTTTCAGATGGAGACCGTATATCCAAGGACCTTCGGATGTAGAAATGAAGGGGTTGTTATATGTGCGTGGAGCTACAGGTTGTGTGTTGCGTGCCCACAGAGCAGCTATAAAGAGGGGAAATCAGGCTGGGACAGTTTCATCTCTGAGGCAGGGGAGACCCACTGATGGGCAAAGACGCCACAGCTGTCTGTTGTCATGTCCTTGGTCATCTCTCAGCATCAGCGTTGTCCTCTGCGATTTGCAAAGTGCTTCCTACAGATGCTGTACATGTCTCACTCAGAAGATCCGGGAGGGAACCATGCCCATGGTTCTTATTGTTGATAACATCTGGCAGCAAACCTGGGCCTCTGCAGGTGCTCAGTAAGCATCCATCGGAGAAGAGCTGCGCACAGGGAGTCTCATCTAGAGGCAACTACTTCAAGCATGAGAAGGAGGGCACAGTCTTCAGAATACCTGGTCTGGAAAGCTCCAAGCTACTGCTTCCTGCCTCTGAGCTCCTTGGGGAGGTTGGGATTGAGTTTTCCAAAATGTCTGCCAATCCCCCCACCATCTACAGAAAGGCATGTTGGCACCAGGCTCCCAGTACCCAGCCGGGCCTGGGCTTCTCTGCTGTGTTTATATCTTTTGGCTCCTGGATTTTAGTCCCGATGTTCTCTGTTATGTGACAATCACATCATATGCCATCATCTGGGTTTATGGCTTAAAAGGGTGGTCGCTGTGCTAATGTCACTCTTGGCTCAGGTGGGAAAGATCTGCCTGCTCTGGCTCCACCTCTCCTGGAAGCACTGAGTGCTCTGGGATCGGCTGGCTTGCAGGGCCCGGTCAGTCCTGCTCACTTTGCTGCACGCCTGCCATTCAGTGTCCTTGCAGGCTCTCATTCTCCGTGTGGAGTCACAGAGGAAGATGCAGACTGGAATGGGTGTCCCTTGGGAGAAAGAAGACCTTCCTGCATTCTCTAGTGTTTTCTTCTCACCTCAGCACACAGCACCATTACCTCTCATTTTAGTTTTGATGACACTCTCTGCTCGGGGAAACAGCTTTTCAGTTAGTCCTCACTTCTCGCCTGCACCGAACCCCAGCTCCAGAGTCTGCTCTGCTACCCCCAGAACCTGTTCTTCCAGTCTGCTTTATGTTGCTATGGTACCTGAGACCAGGGAATTCACAAAACTGGAGAAATTGATTTCCTGAGTTCTGGAGACTGGGAGCTCCAAAAGCAGTGAGCTGGCACCAGAGGGGACAAACAGGATGTCCCCATAGGAGGAACAAAGGCATCCATGAGCCCTTTCCTACCCAGCGTGAATCCGTCGTGGATACTGATCTCAAGCTGCCACTCTCCACAGTGCTACACTAGGGTTTTGGGTTATTGTAGATGGCGGCCGCTACAGTGCTGGGTCAGGCAGGCTGTGCCCTCTGCACCTTCCTGTTAGGTTCTCCACCAGAGCAATGTACCACACCTCAGAAAATCCCAGCGCCGGACATGCTGTAGCGCTTAGCTACAGAATTTTTACCATTATCCGCCCCGACATGGTTTTTATACAAATGTATTTTATATTTTATTCCTGTGTGTGTGCTTTGCTGTGTTCTATGGATGTCCATGGAGGTCAGAAGCAACCATCGGATTTCCTGGAGCTGGAGTTAAATTCAGATGCGAGCTGTCCCACGTGGGTCCTGGGAACCGAACTCAGGTCCTTTAGGAAGAGCAGCAAGTGCTTTCAACCACTGAGCCATCTCTCCAGGCCTTTACTGATGTTCTTAAATCCCAGTTGTCATTGTTTTAGCCAGTCAACTTATATTCATTTTTGAGAGGGAGATGTAATTCTTTAACACGTACATCATATCTCATCCAAATGTTAAAATGGGCATTTGAAGGCAAAACTCTTAACCTTAGTTCACAGGTGAAGAAATGGGCTCAGGGACCAGTTTACCAGTCCAAACCCACATCAAAGTACACTTCAGAGACCATGCCGTGTGCAATTCTGACATTTAGGGAAAGACGATATATCGCCTCCAGGGAACCATGACTTGTGTTCCAGGCTAGTTTTACCCTTCACTGACTTCTGATGTTAGGTAAACCCCATGAAGCTGCTGTTTATGGCAATCCACTTTGCTGCTTCAAGATGCTTTTGAAGATTTGCTGAGAGTTGAGATGCTCAGGGTTAATGTAGCACTTCATGGTTGTATGTGAAGTTCTTCAGAGCAGGACTTTGGACGGTGAGTCTCCTCTGATGGGAAAGAAGGAGCACCTAAGAAAAGACACCTTCTGATGGCAGCCCACATGAAAGGGCGTGGAAGACAGAGGCTGAGCTGTTTACCCGCTTGTCGTCTCTCTAGCTGGTAGTTCACCCATCCTGTTGCTGCAACCAGTGTTAAACCCAACCTCCTCAGGATCCCCATCTTAGACTGAAGACAAGTGGCTCTCCAGCACTTCCCTGGGGCTCCAGCACTAGACCGGGACTGCTGATAACAGCCGCTTTCCAGGACTGCACAGCCACCGGATTCTTGGTCTTTCCGCCATGAGACAGCCAT